AAGCTGAGTAATATTCCATTGTGTGTGTGTGTGTCTTTACCCATTCATCTATTGAGGGACCCCTAGGTTGGTTCCATAGTTTAGCTATTGTGAATTGAGCTGCTATAAACATTGATGTGGCTGCATCATTGTAGTATGCTGATTTTAAGTCATTTGGGTATAAATAGAGGAGTGGGATAGCTGGGTCAAATGGTGGTTCCATTCAAGGTTTTCTGAGGAATCTTTTCTGAGGAATACTGCTTTCCATAGTGGTTGCACCAATTTGCAATCCCACCAAAAATGTATGAGTGTACCTTTTCCCCCACATCCTCACCAACATTTATTGTTGCTTGTGTTCTTGATAACTGCCATTCTGATTGGAGTGAGATGAAATCTTAGTGTAGTTTTTATTTGCACTTCTGTAATTACTAGAGATGTTGAACATTTTTTCATATATTTTATTGCTCAATTGTATTTCTTCTGTGAAGTGTCTGTTCAGTTGCTTAGCCCATTTATTGATTGGGTTATTTATTTTTTTGGTGTTAAATTTTTTTTAGTTCTTTATATATTATACAGAGATTAATGCTTCATCGGAGGTGCATGGGGTAAAGATTTTCTCCCAATCTTAAGCTCTCTCCTCACATTATTGTTTGTTTCCTCTGCTGAGAAGAAGCTTTTTAATTTAATTTAAATTTCTTGATTTTACTTCTTGTGCTTTAGGGGTCTTGTTAAGGAAGTCAGATATTAGGCCAACATGGTGAAGATTTGGACATTCTTCATAGAAATAGATAAAGCAATCATGAAATTTATTTGGAAAAATAAGAAACCCAGAATAGCCAAAACAATCCTTAGCAAGAAAAGTGAAACAGGAGGCATCACAATACCAGACATTAAACTATACTACAGAGCTATAGTAATAAAAACGGCACCAAAATAGACTTGTAGACCAATGGTACAGAACAGAGAACACAAGAGACAAACCCACACAGATACAGTTATCTTATACTGGACAAAGGCGCCCCAAACATTCACTGGAGAAAAGATAGCCTATTCAAAAAATGGCGCTGGCAAAACTGGAAATCCATATGTAGCAAGATGAAATTAAACCTCTATCTCTCACCCTGCACAAAAATCAACTCAGAGTGGATCAAAGACTTAGGCACTAGAATAGAGACCCTGCACCTAATGTATCTTAACCCCCACTTCACACCCTACGATGATCAATTTCGGATGGGTTGCAGAAGTAAATGTGAAAGATAAAGCAATGAAGCTTTCAAGAGGAAACAAAACTTTATTGAAAAGGGCACAAATACTAAGAAATAATAAAGAAAAATAGTTAATTGGTTGGTATTAAGAAAATCTTTTTGTCAAAAGGTACAAAGAAAGTGAATGAAACGAAGAAATCAGAGATAAATACTTTCAGACCATATATTTAATCAAAAAATCTCATCTCTAGAATGCAGAAAGAACTCTTGAAAACCTGTATAAAAAAAGTGGCCAACTTAACTGGAGAAGGGGGGAATGTGAGCACCTCCCAGATGTTACTCAAATGCCAATAGACCTGTGAAACCTATGGCTTCGTTAGTTGCCACGTAGTTCACTTAACACTCACCCGAATGGCAGAGATGAAGGGGAAGACGTGCCACGTGTTGGCGAGAACCCGGAGCAGGGGGGACTCTCTGGGGCCCGAGTGCAAATAGTTCCAATTAACTTGGAAAATGGCTGCAGCTGAACAGTCGTATATAAATAGACATCTATGACTCAGTGACCCAGAAATTCTTCTCCCAATTATACACCAAACAGGATTTTGTATAAGTTTGCCAAAAGACACATACAAAAATATTTACAGGAGCACTGCTTTTAATAGTTCAGACCCCAAACGACTCAGATCCTCACTGGCAGTAAAGTGGGCAGATAAGGTGGGGTATCTGCTCAGAAAGGAACACTGGAAAGCACGGAGAGTGGAAGGAAAATCATGGCTGTAGGTGATAATAGGAACCGTGGGAGACAGTGGGCTGGAGCGTGGCCCAGGGCAGAGCACTCACCCATGGAGCGCGAGGGCCCCGGTTGCATCCGCAAGGCCCCGGGTTGCATCTGCAGCATTGCATCATGACGACAGTAAGACAAAGTCTGTGACAAAATGAGCAAAGGCCTCATGAACTTGGGGCCAGAAGACCCCTCTGTGGGTGTGTTCACCTCAGCTGGGGTTCAAAGGTCGGGGAAGGAGAGGCAGCTTTACAGTGTAAACAGGGAGCTTCGTCTCCAAATAGCAAGCATCCTATGATGAGGCAAATTTAGGAGGCAGAGGAGAATTTCTAGTCGGCCTTCAGGTACTTTTGGCCTGGCTGCTTGGTGGACTTCAGGGCTGGGGGCCAGCTCCCTACTGCATGGCAGAGAAGTCCTGCTCCCACCTCCAGAGCCCACCGGGCCTGGCCCTGCCCCTTTGGCCCTCCTGGGGTGCTCCAGGCTTCCTGTGTGGCCTCCAGAGCCCCAGGGTCATGGTCTCTCCTTTCTCTATCTGTGAGCTGCTTGGACTCCAGTAGGGGATAAAGGACATTATCAGACGATTTCAAAAAAGGAGTTTAAAATCCCAAACCCAAACTAAGAAGGAAAAGGACATACAGTGAAAACTTGGCTAGATAGGAGGCCAGGACAGGCTTTTTGATACAGTTTGATTTCTGAATAATTTAGAGGCAAACAGAAGAAGCAGTTGAGACGGCTGGAACTGTATGTTAAAGACCCTGAGGCAGCAGAGTGTGTTTCCATATTGGGAATTGAAGGAGAGAATACAGAAAACAAGTGGTAAGCTAGGGTCTTGCACAGCACGGTGAAGATTTTGGTCTTCATACTAAGATGAGGGTACACCGGCTGCTGGAATGCCCGATGCTTAAAGTAAGAGGTATTTCAAGCAGGAGGTGACATGATATTTCACTAGCAAAGTGAGCCTCTGACTCTGGGATTTACTGGGGAGCAGTTTAGATTCCAGGAGACCATGTAGAGGCAACTGTAATAGTCCTGGCCCCAGAGAATGGGCTGGGTTGGTCACCAGGAGGTGGGACAGAGTTGTGAGCCTTCTGCAAAGATGTGGGTGGTCGAATACCTAAACATGGTGACTGGAATGTAGGGGAGGGGCAGGGTGTGAGAGCCAAGGATGGTTCCTGGACCCTGCCGCCCAGATGGATGGTGGTACTTCCCCCCCCCCCCAGGCCACCACGTTTGGGTGCACGGTGGCAGAAAGGCTCAGAGATGTCACTTAGACATCAAGTAGAGGATCAGATGGGCAGGAGACGGAGCTGCTCTGCAGTTCAGAGTTCTGAGGCATCACCGAGTCATTGTTCAAACAAACACAAGTAGCAGACTGGTTTTTATCCATGTGTTTTTTAAGTTTGAGAAATTGTTTCATTCCCTTTTTTTTCCCCTCTCTCTTTCCTTCTTCGGAGGATTTATTTCCATTTTTCTTTCTACCTCCCTTTTATGGAGTGTGTGTTTCTTTGGCCTGAGGGTCACCTAAATGTGCCACCTCTCCCTCAGGAGCTGCAGACCCCACCTCTGTCCTCTGCCTCCAGAGCCCAGTGGGGAGGGTCAGCTGACACAGAGCGGCACCTCCTGTGAGTCACTGGGAATCCTGATGGGGCAAAGGGGCTGCTGTTTGGGGGGAGGGTGGTTGTCCAGCAGAGGACACCCAGCCAAAGTGCTTCTCAACGGCCTGTTTGCTACGTCCACTGCAGTGGTGGGCTCCAGCCTGGGGCTCGCAGGGGAAATCGTGTTGCTCGGGAGATTCTGGCTTCTTGCAGGGATCTGGAGAGTTGGTGGGGAGCAGGGGAGAGGGGAGAAGGTGACAGGCGCGGGTTTGTTTCCAAGCGTGTGTGAAAGCCCCTGAGAAGAACTTTCATGCCACGTCTGTCAGAGGAACCAGAAGGAATAAAACCAGCTGCTGTGTCTGAAGTCTCACGGGCCACTCCTGACTCCGAAGGGAAGCTCAGAACCTTCTTGGGAAAGCTCTGGACCCCCAGACCAAGCGGACTTCATAGCATGGGAAGGATTCCAAGCAGTTCAGTGGGCAGAGTTTTCTAGAAAACCAGGGAAGGTGCTTAGGGCCAGTGTTTAAGAAATGAGGAAGGGTGAGGGCAGAGGGGAACTTTCTACCCTGCCTAAGAATTAATATTAAGAAAAATGAGGCAGAGGGAAGAAGTGTTCTCTCCACATGCAAGTTCTTGCTCTGAGTTTGCTGAGTCCCTCATCTTGAGCTTTGCTCCGGGAAGTCAGATTACAGCTGCTTTGTCCCCAGTGACATTGGGGCAGTAGGATGTACTGACAGAGGTTTGGCTTTGGTCTGGACACCACTGGTGGGGACCATCTGTGTGGCCAGGACAGCCAGGGAGAGACTCAGTGTCTCTCAGAGACCCAAGCAGTTCAGTTTTATCTGGTTTGCAGTTGCAGGATCTGGTTTGCAGTTGCAGGATCTGGTTTGTTACATTCCCAAGTCAGTTTCCTGAATGAAATGTTTAAGCAGTTTCTGGCCTGTCCTGAGACTATTTCCCCAAACTCTTCCTGTGGGCGACGTCACTGTTGACTTCAAACAAATGCGCTGTTATGTGTGGTCAGTGCTGAGCGCTGCCTGGGGCTGGGCATGGTCCCACATGTTAGAGGGTATCAAACTGTTCTCTGCTCCCCAAATCCTTTAAGGTAGGTGCTTCCATGATTCCCATGCTAAGGATGAGTAACCAGTGGCATAGATGGGTCAGTTACCTGGCCAAGGTTGCATAGCCGGTGTCTAGGAACCAGGGTTTGGCCCAGTGCTGGGAAGAGTTTCTGCTTGCTGGACCTGACTCCTTTCTCCCTCCCCCTCAGCACTGCACACTCGTTAGGTGTTCCTCAACAGCCTCTTGTTGAACGAGTGGACTGCCGATTCTCATACTCCCAATAATAGAACCCCACAAGAGCCTCTGCTGTCTTACTTCTGCACCCACCTGGAGGAGGTAAACATTGTACAGTTCCAGTGATGCTTTGTTTTCTCCTAGGAGTGACTGGGTGACATCCTATAAGGTCATGGTGAGCAATGACAGCCACACGTGGGTCACTGTCAAGAACGGATCTGGAGACATGGTGAGTCTCTTCTTGGCTCTGGCTGTGTGGGACCCTGCAGAGAGACGTGATGTGCCCAGTCACCTGGGACTTACCATTTCTGGGTCCACTCCAGCCAACCCTGAGAGTGTGATGGACAGTGACCCCTTTCCGTGGCCCAAAGCTCAGCACCAGGTGGTCACCTTTGGGCACGATGTGGACTCCCGCCTTTCCTCCTGTCACAGGGTCTGAACCCAGCCTCTTACCCACACCCAGGCCAGCCCTGGAGAGACACGGCATGCAGGGCATGCAGGGCCCCTCAGAGCTGTTCAGTTATGAGTTTCCCGGCTTTCTCTAATGACCTTGGATCTTTAGCTCTGTGATGTGGGGCAGCTTCACACTGCAGTCACACTGAGATCCTCAAGAGCACATTCCCAGCACCATGTCCCCTGTCCCACACCCATCTTGCACACCGCCTGCAGATTCCTTATCACCCACATCCCTGTGTCCTGGTAGAAGGGTGACAGCTGCTCTTCTACCTGGGAACCCATTGCTGTGTCTTTCTCCCCATGTCAGGTCAAATGCAATTGCTTCCCCACAGCTTGGCTTGGTCTTCTTCTGCTGAGATCCAAAAGCTCTGTGGTGTTCCTTTGCCCTGACCTTGATAGTTATCCTACAGCCAAAGGTTCTCCCCAGGCCCCAACCGATGGGGGCTTCCTGGGACCTGACTCCTTTCTCCCTCCCCCTCAGCGCTCCACACAACCTTAGGTCTTCCTCAGCAGCCTCTTGTTGAGCCAGTGGACTGCCAATCTCGCACCCCCGATAATCAAACCCTATAAGAGCCTCCTTTTCCTCTTGAACATAAATAGATATTTGAAGGAAACAGTGAAAAGGAGATCCCTGTGCTCAACGAGCTGCCCGTCCCCATGGTGGCCCGCTACATCCGCATCAACCCGCAGTCTTGGCTCGACAACGGCAGCATCTGTCTGAGGATGGAGATCCTGGGCTGCCCACTGCCAGGTGAGTCCACCCACCTGCACTTCCTGCAGGGCAGGATGCTGACACAAAACAGGTGCCAGCCAGGGTAAGTAAAATTAAGCCAGCAATTGTTTTCTGGTGTTAAAAAGAAGAGATGTGTCTATTTAGAATATTTTGAAAATACAGGTGAGCCAAAAAGAAAACAAGAAAAAATTTCCCATTATCCTGCTAAGAAGCATCATGAACACGGGGGGGGGGGGTATCGAGGTCTCTTGCCAAGGAGGTTCTTCCCATTGTGCACATTTCAAGGTTGACAATTACCCAACCCCACCTCTCAAGGGTGGGCAGAGACACTATAAAGGGGTTTTGGAGCATTGGGGTACCACTCAGCCATAGAGTTCTTGTGAGCATTGCAAGGCCCTGGGTTCCATCCCTAGCACTACCAAAAAAAAAAAAAAAAGAGTTTTGGAGGCCATCTTTATTTCTCTTTATTTGATCCCACTCTTCTAGGTAGAGGAGGTAGGGCAGCAGCAGCAGAAGTTCACTTTAAACTGGACCGTTGATGTGGTCTTGTTTAGAGAGCTTCACGGGATGCCTGTGTCCTGGGTCACTTATTTTATTGGTTGTGTTTCCTTGGCCCTATTTCTACATGATGGTTTTAGTGTGTGACCCTAGGGTAACAGGGAGAATGGGGGGGACTCCTGAGCCAGCTGGGTCCCTGCTCTGTCCTGCTCTGGACAGGCTGGCCTGAGCTGGCTCTCACAGATGGTTGGCTTGTGTGCTCAGGGACCTGTGGTGGCAGCCTCTTCCTCCTGCCCAGACCTCTCCAGGGAAGGCAGCAGGCAGGAACTTTCTCATTCCTGGGCACCCTGAGTCAGGAGGACCAGGAGCGAGCCATGGCTCACCTCTCCCAGGCTGCTCCTCCAGGAAGCCTCCCTGCACTTGATCTTGCAGGTGTGAGCTGACCCCAGCTCTCTCTGGACCCCCAGTTCCTCCGAGTGCTCTGGGGGCCTGGCACCTCCAGCTCTGAGGCTGGGTCTGTCATGACCCCACTCCCACCGTGAACTCACTTTTACTGTGTTTTCAAGTGTGTTTATGTCATTGCACTCTTTTCCTCTCCATCCCAGAGTTTTCTCTGAACTCGCTTTGGCAACCATGGATTTTTGGAGACCAAGTTGAATCTAGGTACCTACTTAATTTCCCTCATGTCAGATATTTTGTTTTATAATAGTTCACACCTACTTTTTTTTTTATGTCATTAAAACTGGCAGAGACCCACTGTCTTACTGATGTTTTCTCTCCTAATCCATGGAGAGATCCTGTGTTTTTAATCTGCCTTGGAGAGTTGGAAGTTGAGTTGTTTCCAGCATCTTGATTCTGTGAACACCCGCAGTGGGCATCCCTGTTCCTCCGGCACCATTCCACGTCACTATTCCACGTGTGCATGTCCACGGTTAATTCCCAGGATTGCCTTGGGGAGAGTGGAGTTGCTGGGACAAAGGAAATGCTCATTGTCAAGGATGACATGGGGAGAGGCTGCCTGGTTTGAGATTGAAGCCTCCCTTTGTGGCCAGTTGTGTTGGAACTGGGCACTGCTGTCCAGGTCCAGCCTGCTGCCATCTGGGACCTGCCAGGCTCAGTGTGTCCTAAGGTCCCGAAGTCAGTAGGTATCTGCAGAGGGGGAGTCATGGTCTCTGGCCCTCTTTACATGAACCCGGGACTCTTGTTCAGCACACTCTCAGTCTGTTTGCTTTAAAGAGAAGGGTCATGGTTCTTCTCTGCAGGCAGGAATTCATCTGTTGTTAGCAAAGGGCAGAGGGCAGCCTGTGCGAGTCTCACGAAATAAATATTTCCCTGTGAAGTTATTCTTGGGGTGTGTTTGAAGATAGGTCCTGGGAGCTGTTGAATCACTCGCGGAGACAGTTGTGTTGTGAAATGTGGGTGGCTGTCAAGTATGGCCTCAGCAGGGTTCTTCTGTCCACCCCCTAAGTATTTAGGGCCATTTTTCTTCTAGAAGTTACTTAGCACTCTGTCCAGAGGTGCACTAGTGTTCACACATGCCGCCTGGTGGTAGTCAGGTCCCAGGACCAGGGCAGCACAGAGGTCCAAAATGAGCCTCTCATCATCGCTGTGCAGAGAAGATACCTTCATGAAAGTTAATGAGATTGAAGCCAGAGTTGTGCAGACAATGCAGCTCCCCAAACCCATGGTGACTTTGAGGTCTAAATGCAGCCACTGGTTCCAAGCTTCCTGGAATTCTTTTTATGAAAAATGTACTTACCTCCATTCTGCATCTCTGCATTCCAACCATGCCCTCCCTTCTCCTTTTCCTGTGAGGCCTCTGGTGGAGGCGGACTTGGAGGGTGCGGGTTGCTTTTTAAGATTTGGTGAATATTTCCAGAAATCTTTGAGCTGGAAAGTGCATTACCATAGACCATGGACTATTAATAGGATTTTTAAAGCTCAGAAGTAAAAGAAAATGGGGATCTGTAGTTGCATGGGTTTAGAGTTTCAGGTCTGCCAGATGAAAAATGTTCTGTAGCTGGTTAGTGCTGCGCATATCGTGTGAAGCACAGGGCATATAGCAGTGTTCCGTAACAATGGCACCAAGCGAGGGAAGGCCTTTCGCTCTAAGACGGAAGCCATGTCTCCATCAAGCACAGATCCAACTGAAGATGAGATCACAAGATTGCTCTCATTGACTGTGGTCATTGAGGTAGTGAACAATGGGCCAAGGAATTAGCAGTTAATTATTTAATAGGAAAACGTGCGTCTGCTGTGAGAGTTAAGCCTTTAAGCTGCATGAGTATACTGCCTTGTAAAGGGAGATCTGCTTGCTAGAGTTGTTGGGTTAGATGGGGGGACCACCCTTCCCAATTGTCTGGGACACAGGGAGTTTTCAATTTATCAACCAGGAGAGCCCCAAGCAAACCAGCGCATGGTGGCCTTTCTCTGGTTAGACCACATCTCAGTCAGCAGAATCAGGGGAACAGAGGATTTGGGGAGTTCAGTAAGGGGAGTCGGTTGGGAAGACAGCTTTAGGTACCAACGTCTGGAGTTTGTCCCCGTAACTCGGGTGTCTCTGAGGAATCAGCTGTTTTTCAGCATATGGGATGTGCCCCATGGAAGGAGACAGGAGCCAAAGCTCCGTCTGAGGCAGTCGGGCTTGTAGACTGAGGCAGCTGGGGCTTCAGATGGGAGCAGCGCTGTTCCAACTAGCTTAAGAGGAAAAAGTGGACTGATGTCAAATCTTAGGAGCGGGTCTGGCTTTGGCTTCAGGTTGGCGTAGGTCTGCTGTCTCAGGGCCTTCTAGGTCAGGGCTCACTTGGTCTCTTGCAGACAGGCAGGTGGCCACTGATGACCCAAAGTCATCCTCTCTTCAGAGAGATTCCAGTAGGAGAGACTGCACAGCTCTGGGCGAAGAGTCTTCTGGTGGCCCCGCGTGGATCCTGGGATCACTGGACCCAGTGACTGTGGCCAGAACAAGTGTGTTAACTGGCTGGCCTGAGTCACATGGCAGGGCGGCTCCCTGGGAACTCACAAGGGAAAGGAATTCTTTTGTCCACAGAGGGAAGCTGGGGATGGACTCCGATGCCAATTGCTCTGTGTGCACTCATTACTTCAGTGCGTGGCTCCTAGTACAGCCTCAATTAAAGCCTTGGCCAGTCAGAATAAACGGACAGGAAAGAAGAAGTTTTTTCAGGATAGGGAGACTGAAAATTGTGCACACTCGCCGTGGCTTTGAGACAGTCCTGGAACTTGTCCCTGAACCTTTCAGCACACTGATTCGTCTTAAGGAAGGAAGAATATCCCAGACACAGAGTTCTTTTGTCCTGGAGGCTCCCAGTTTTTCTTCACTCCCTTTCCCAACCTTGAAGGCAGAACTTGTGTTGGAAAACAAAGGGGGCTTTCAAGTCCTTTGGAAAGAGGCCCCAGAGACTGGGGCGGGGTGTGGAATAGCTCTCAGCACACAGCTCTGGTTAGGTTCACTGTAGATGACTGGGTAGGTTTGGTGTAAATGAATGCAAAAAAAAAAAATGCTTTGAAATCTGCAGGTCTGGAATTCAAAGGGAAGGCAGCTTGCCAGAGGTGTGGTCAGCCCACTCCCCAAAGGAAAGTGTTGGAGAAAGGAGTGGGCCTCTGGCTGAGCCTCTCTGTTCTTGCTGGCCAGCATGCCCGCCTGCCTCCGGAGACACTCCCTTTCCGCCTTGGTTACTCGTATCTGATCGTATCCTGGAAAACCTTTTGTGAAGATGTAAAATTCTACTTTCAGTGTTTGGTTCTGTGTGTGATTCTTACCTTGTGGCAGGCGACCTCAGTTCTGAAGGGTGAAGCCATCTTCCAGGGCGCAGGGCTGGCTCAGCTGACCGGCTGGGTGGAAGGTCGATGGTGCCTCCTCCCCATGCCACACACTGGGCGGCTCTCGGCCTTCCGGCCTGCAGGGTCAGCTGGCGTTCTGTTAAAGTGTGGTTCTGACCTGCAGAGTCAGAAGGTTCTGTCAGGTTGGTTCTGACAAAGAGCCAGTGCTGCACATTCGGATCAGAGATAGGGCCCAGCCTGCCCCCCTAGGGAGCAAGTGCCCGTCCTTCTGCCACCTCCCTTGGCTCTGCTTCCAGAATGACCTTGGAGCCTCCTGCCTCAAGCCGAGGCCGCTGTGGCTCTCCAGCGGCTCACATGCCCCTAGGGTTGTGGGTCGGCTTCCAAAGCTCCCATGTTCTTCCTGTCGGGAGCTGGTGCTGGTGGAGATGCTACCAGGCTGCTGGGGCCTGCGACCCTCCTGTCCAGTCATCATCAGATGAGGAGAAGGACCTCTGCACCAACTGATGTCCCTTCCTGCCGTCCTCCTTGATCTTCCTCCCCCGTGTCCCCTTCTTTCTGTGTGTTCTTTGGTTTTTATAATTATATGCAGAATACAAGCTTAAGAAATTAAAGGGTGAAAATCAACTTATACTTCTGGAAGGGAATCAAGCGAAGAGTAGGCATGTCCTCCCCAGAGCCCAAGCCCTAGTCCTGAGGGTCACCGTGGTTAATATGGTCTGATCACACCTTCCAAGGGACTTCTGCTCCTGTGAAGGGAACTCACGGACTTCAGCATTCTGGTCACCCTGTGTCTTGTGAGTGCAAGTCCAGGGAGGGCCGGGCTGCGGGGCTGACTCATCAGTAGCTCCTGATGTAGTTGGGCTTCTTGTCTTTTGCTCCTGGTTGTCCATGTCCCTGAGGTCCTCCTGGGGCTAGTTCCTCTTGTAGTCAGATGCCCACTGTGGCAAGCAGGCGACGTGCTTCTGCACACTTTCCCCGTCCTTCTCTGTGCCCAAGTGCTAGAGCAGTTAGAGTGGCGGGGGGCGTGCTTTGATGGCCTGGAGCTGGGGCCCTGAGTTTTCTAGAGGTGGGAAGAGGGGATTTCCAAATGTGGGGCCTCTGTTAGGAAGAACAAAAGGAATATGTCCCCACTAAGAGCCCAACAGTGTCCCCATACTTCCTAAAGTCTCCACATGTGCCCGCAGCTTTCATGTTGCATCTATGTCTTTAGAGTGGGGGTTTGCTAGGCACATAGGATGTCCCCTCTGCCACTAACAGTAGACCCGTGGGGCCGGAACCACTCTATTCCCTGTTTATGGGTGAAAAACGAAGGCAAAGACTGACCAGTGACTTGCTCAAGATCACATGGCACATAAATGGAAAAGATCTGGACCCAGGCACCATGGCTCCGCATCCTTAGCCACTGGGTGATTCCAACCCCTGTCTTGCTCCCTGTGTCTCAGTTCTCTGCCTCTGAGCCAATGTTAGGTGCTCGAGGGTGGACTGGGCTGGGAAGGCTTTGCCATCCCGACGGTGCTTGCATGAGTCAGGCCCTAACAGGGTTAGCACAAGTCACAGAATGGTGTGAATGAGTTCAAGGTCATCTCTCTGTCCCCAGATCCTAATAACTATTACCACCGACGGAATGAAATGACCACCACGGACGACCTGGATTTTAAGCACCACAACTATAAGGAAATGCGCCAGGTAAGACCCAGGACACAGGGAGTGGGGCCATGGCTCCGTGGTAGAGCTCTCCTCTAGCGTGCACGAGGCCCTGGGTTCAACACCAGCACCTCACAAAATAAACACAGAACAAAACGAGAAACAGAGCTTGTAGCCTCAGGCCAGGAGTTTGTCCAAGAGCTGCAGGGATAATGCCCTAAGCACTTCGTATATAGGGTTCGCGTTCAAGGCACAGGAACCTGAATGGTCCCTTTGGCTGTGGAAGACACACTGAATGCTCGTGGCTTCAAGGCTGAGGGGTCTTTCTGGGATTCAGTGACCAGGAAGGTTCTCCCACTGCACAGGGTTGAAATGGGCCTGAAATCCAGACTCTTCTCATTTAATACTTCAGTTCCTGTGTGTGAGCCAGGTCAGGGACGGAGGAAGTCAGCCATGTGCAGAGTCGAAGAAGAGGAAGCACATGGGGACCCTGCTGTTGGCAGGACTCTGCTGGAGCCCACGTCACTGCGTTCAGTCCTCTATCGCCCCAGGAGGGTAGCACTGTGGTCATCCTTTCTTACAGATGGGGAAACCAAGTCACCAAGTCACTGCACAGCATTTCCCTGTGTTACGCAGGTTCTCAGTCTCCATCTTGGTTGCCTGTTATAGTCACCTGGGGGAATTTGTAAAAAAAACACTTTCCTGAACTCGCTTCAGAACAAGTAAAGCAGAACCCTTAGGAGAAGGACCTGGGGACTCAAGATTTTAAAAGCTGGCCTTGGGCTTCTGCTGTGTAGCCAGGTCTCAGAGCTTCTGCTTGACACCTTTATAGTGGGGGGTGCAGTTGGCAGGAGAAGACCATTAGAGGAGATTCCCCAGGTTGAATCAGCGAGGCCTGAGCAGTGGCAGCCTGTGCCTGCTGGCTGCGGAGCGGGGGAGGGCCACCACTAATCAGAACAGGTAAGGAGCAGCCCCGGGTGGAGCGCATTGCCCCTGACGTCCTGTTCCATGTCTGCCCCCCACGTGTGCTGGAAATGCACAGGGGGTGTGGGCAGACAAGAAGTCCCTAGAGATCAAAGCATCAGTCTGAAGAGTCAGAACAAGCAGGAATGTTTGTGAGAATGTATTTTCAGAGAAGGATTCACTCGGGCAAATTACTGAGGCTCAAAGGAGATCTGGAGGAGCAGAGGGAAGGAGCAGACGCAGGACAAACATGGAAGATGTGTCTGAGCTCGGAGCCTCTAGGCTGAGCCCAGTCCATGAAGGGAACACGCCCGGCAGCCCAGTGTCATTTAATTGACAGCAGCTTCCAGACACCTGTCAGCACTGACTCGGGAGGTGGCAGTGCTGAGCCTCTTGCTCTTCAGAAACCAAGATAATGTCCTTGGACTTGAGGTCCTTGACTCGTGCCTGCGGCTATGCATTCTTGGAGTGTCTGTGGCTCTGCCCCTAGTTCTGTCATAGGGGCACCATGGATTGACCCAGCACTGCTTTCTGGACATCTCAGACATCCCACTGAGTCCAGAAGAGAGCAAATATCAATTGAGTTGGTGCAATGAACGTCAAGAGCCGTAAATCTGAGCCATAAATCTGCACTTAAAGGCAGCAGGCTGCACCGAGGTGTGTGGGTGCTGGTGTCGGTCAGTAGCCGTTGCACGTGGACAACGGGGCTCCTCTCTCAAGGAGAGCTGGTAGAGCAGCCTTCATCACGCAAGTCACTGTCACTTGGGGGGGGGGTGTCAAAGCCACTACAAGGACATGGAATCATCAGTCAGCTGCCTCAGGGACACTGAGTCCTCAAGGGTCCCCCTGCCTGGCAGGGCTCAATGGGAGACTGTCCAGGGAGCGTTTCTCCATTGTATGGCAAGTTCTCGAGTGTGACTTGCCACTTGGATTCCCGACTCTGGAGATGCGGAGAAGCCAGCAGCTTAGCAATTCCCTCGTGGCATCGACTGGTTACTGTAGAAATCTCTCTACCTTGGGGACAATGGTTAGTTTATCCTACTATTGAAAGAGACATTGTGATGAGAAAAAAAGAGAAACAGCGGTGGAAAGCAAGAGGAGAAAGTGAAAATCTGACGCCTTATGAGAGGGAGAGGCCAGGTGTGTGGCCTCCTGGGCTCAGACTCTCCTGAGATCAGGGGTGGGAGGGGGAACTGAGAAGCAGGGGAGAAGGTGGGGGCAGAGTGGGAGAGCCGGGCCAGGAGAAGCGGAAGGCCTTAGAGCGGGTCACAATTTGCTAGTCACTTAGCTGCTGTTCCTTCACAGACATGTTGTCCGTCTCTCATTGGAGACGGTGAGGGCTTTGGCAGGCGGGAACAGAGGAGGGCATGGCTGGCAGCAAGGGCAGCAGGATCCGCCGCGTGGAGGTGGGGCGTCCAGGGAGTGTCCGCCACAGCGGGCACTGGGCTGGGAATGAGCCGGGTCCTGAGGTTCCTCGCTGAGCAGGGCTGGGCCTCTTCTCCGTGTGGAGAGAAGGTGAATAAGAGCCACTGGGTCCCCAGGACAGGGGCCTCCTGGGCCTGGAGAAAGATGGAGGGAGGCATCTCTGAGGCCCTCTGGCTAGTTGGGGAGAGAGAGGACTCTGGCCTTGTCCTGCAGGGGGGTTGGTTGTTTTCCCGGGAGGCGGGGGTTGTTTTTGGGGCTTGGTTTTCCTTTGCTTTTTTTTGGGGGCACAGTGTTGCCAGGGCCCCATGCTCAGGAAGCTCTGGTTCCTGGCTGATCTGTGGAGAGTGAGGTGCAGGCAGGTGGAGGTAGAGGGGCGGGACGTGAGTTGCAGGGAAGTTGATATCCAGGGCAGCTGATGGCCAGGGGCGTCAGGCTGAAAGGACGGCCACTGAGTGTGCCCACGTTCTCCGTGCTGAGCCTGGCCTGGGGGAGGTCAGGGAGGGGGGATTCAGGGCAGGGCGGCGGCCTGTGGGTCCAGACACACCAAAGTCCTGAGCCACGAGGTCCCCTTCTCAGTGATTCTCTCCCTCTTCCCGCCCTGTGGAATTCCTTTCCCATTGACCAGGCGCAGTCTGTTTCCCAGGTGAATGAAGAAAAACCACGGAAGAGAACTTTTCTCCTCTGCCTTCTTGTATTTATTCGTTAAGCATTTTCATTCACTGGACAAACACTGTTGTATCAATGTGTGACCCAAAACCTACAGACAAATCCTTCTCCAACTTTCTTACCTGTCTCAGCCTTACATTTTCTTACCTGTCTCAGTCTGTTCATACTTATGGTAACAAAATGCCAGAGAAAGGATAATTTACAAACAGCAGAAGTTGATTTCTCCTGTTCAGGATCAAGGCATCAGCACCTCTGGTGTCTGGTAAGTGCTGCTATCCCTTTCCAAGATGGCACCTTGTTGCTCTACTCCTGTGGTGGGAGATGGAAGCGGGAAAGGGCCTCGCTAGTTCCCTACAGACCTTTCAAAAGGATATTAATTTCATTCATGAGGACACTCACTAAAGGCCCATCTCTATAGACCATCTCATTGGATCTTAGGTTTCCGCATATCACCCCGTAGCGACTCGGGGCAGGAAACGCAGTGTGTCTCCGAGTTTCAGTCTGCCTGTCTTTAGAACGGGGGTAGTCTCTCTGCCTTATCTACGTCACCTGGAGGTCTTGATGGTGAGATGACACATTTTTGCTGTCTCCTTTACGTTGGCAGGGATGTGGGTGCTCTTACTTGTAGCCATTTTTGGTGCCACCTGGGTGTGGCCCCTGTGATGTTCACTCACCTCCCTTGTGGCAGGTGCCTGCCTCAGCTGTCTTGCAAACACGGGTCTTTAGCAATCAGCTTTCTCTCAACTGAATATTGTGACACAAAGTGAGTCACTGCAGAGTGAAGCACACTTTCCCCCAGGATCAATGAAAGAATCAGACCCTGAATTCCTAACCAGCGGGGCGCCTGTCACCCCTCGCAGGTGTGCCGGAAGCCAAGATGGTGATGATAAATCCTTCGGCCCCTCAGGAATGCTCCTTAACCTGCTCTGCCCTGTGATGGCAGAATTCCGTGTTATGCAGGTGACAATGACCACAGCATGACACCTGTCCTGTATCATAGGCTCTGTGTAATATCAGTTTTCCAGTTTGAACAGATTTTCACCCACTATAAAAGTTGCAGCAGCCTATTTACAATGTACAAGGACCCTCAGTGGATCATTCTGCTGACCAGGAACCTTTGAAAGATGGTTCCAGTCCCTGCAGGCCCCTGCTGTCCCTCGGGGACTGTGCCTTTCCCTTGCTGAGCAGTCCAGCTCATCTTTCAGAAGGGTGGAGCCCTTCCTCATGGCTGCCTGCCAACCACCTGGCTGGGCTGGTTCTCCCTGCCCTGGAAGCCCCCGAGCACCCTTCCTGTCATTAACAGAGGGTGGTGCAGCTGTCCCATGGCGAGTGAAGCCTCACTGTGAGCCTGGGGCCTGGTAAGGGGCAGGCTTCTCCATAAACATGCAGTGAAGGGACCGTGTCCCTTGAATCGGGGCGTCTTGCACTTGGGGTGGCTAAACGAGTTGAACCAAGCTGGCAAGCCCAAGCTGCCCCGGAGCAGACTCGCAGGGCCTCGTTGAGTGGTCCAGGCAAGGCAGCCTCCAGGGAGAGGTGTCTCTGGTCCTCCCCCACCTGGGCAGCTCGCTCCGCTTGGCTGCGGAGCCTGGTGACTCCTTTGGCACTTGCGTCGTCCTCGCAGACCACAGCTGTCAGTCTGACCAGCCGACTCCAACGGCAAGATCCAGAAAGCAGCACAGACGGGTTTCACTTTGGGCTGCCGCCTGCTTTGCGCCCTTCCCCTGTGACACCGGTCACCACGCCACACGTGCGGTCCTCACTCAGCACTCACAGGAGTGGTGCTCTCTGCCCCTCTGTGTCGGCACAGCAGCTCAGGAGCGCGGAGCGGGGAGTGTCCCCCATCCTAGCACCACGTGCATAGGTCATGAGGAATTGTATTCAAGAGACACTCAGGTGGACCCTCCACGTCCAAGGATATTTACTAAGAAAGCAGGAAATCAGAGTGAAAAATAATGACCCGATCAAGGAGGTGATGACGAATGTGATGAATAGCCAGGGAGGTGACAGCCACAACCAGGGAGGTGACATCCACAACCAGGGAGGTGACAGCCACAACCAGGGAGGTGACAGCCACAGTCGAGGAGGTGACAACCACACAAATTAAGGAGGTGACAGCCACAACCTGGGAGGTGTCAGCCACAACTAAGGAGGTGACAGCCACAACCTGGGAGGTGACAACCACAACCTGGGAGGTGACAGCCACAACCAGGGAGGTGACAACCACAACCAGGGAGGTGACAGCCACAACTAAGGAGGTGATAGCCACAACATGGAAGGTGACAGCCACAACCAGGGAGGTGACAACCACAACCAGGGAGATGACAACCACAAAAATTAAGGAGGTGATAGCCACAACCTGGGAGGTGTCAGCCACAACCTGGGAGGTGACAGCCACAACATGGAAGATGACATCCACAACCTGGGAGGTGACAGCCACAACCAGGGAGGTGACAACCACAACCAGGGAGGTGACAACCACAACTAAGGAGGTGA